TTTCTAGTTTTGGTAGTGAATAAGGGCCACAATAGCTCATCACTTGTGAAAAAGTTATTGGACTTGAACATTTCAAGCAAAAATCTGTAGGTCTCTATTTCCCAAATCAAATAAATGCCCATGATACTTCATTAATAAGCTATAAACTATCACTCAACTTTAATTTGAATGTATTTTTCTGCTATCATGGGAAGCATAGTATAAGATGTATGTTTCTCCTGATTATTATAGATGATGTCTAGACCAAGAATTGTATGAATGAACTTGATTTTACAGTAACAAGTTATGATTCTATAAAAACCAAGCTAAACAATGCCAAAATCCTCCTCCTACTGCTCTGGAGATGGTGCAGCATGTTCTAGCATATGTACTGTGCTAAGCCATATTTAGTGTTATATATGATGCATAAAACCTAGGGTTTATAAACACTGAATGGAAGAAAATACACTTATTTTGAGCACAACTTGCCTCATTTTTCTTTTGTACTGATTTAATACTGACAGAAATGGTAGGACTCTTTGAAGATGGATCTTCACTGTAGCCTTTAAAAAAGCACAACATTAAAAAGAACAATTAAACTGCTGAGAGAATATAATTCTTTTCCACATATTTTCCTTTCTTTTCACTCACAATCCTTTTCATTAATTTTCTTGTGTTTATATGAGAGATGATAAGTATTTTGTGAGTATTTTGTTTCTGAGTGGCTCTTAAACTCTAATTCATGGAATCTCTAAAAAAAATGTTGAAATAATTTTCCTCTCCTAAACTAATGTTCCTGTTCACAGTCTTACAATGTATCTTTGCAATGTTAGTCAGGCTTCTTGAAGGTGGAATTTCCAGGATAGAAACACCATTTTTCCCTTCAATTTCTCTCCTCCAGACCCCACCCCACACCACCCTTTATTCAGGATTTTTATTCACTATAGTGGATTATAATGATATAATAATACTTCAGTATTAGGATCCAAAGTGGGCAACAGAACTGTATCTGCAAGCAGGTCCTTAAAGAAGCCATGCTTTTTCCTAGATTCACGCAGGAGCCATGAAGGCCCAAAAGATAGGTGTTTGAGGTAACTCAAGTGCATGCATGGCAACTATGGATGCCCAGGAAAATCTGTGGTTTCTTCAAGAAGATCCCTGCCTGCTTCAGATCCAAATAATGCACATGTCTATGACATAGAGGGCCAGAAGACAGTCAGACTCAAACTTGTATATATGTGGCTGTCCAGCAGAAAACCCAAAAGAAAAATCATCCCATCATGATTCCACACCCCCATGATATTCTAAACTACCAGGGACCTTGAGCAGTTCAATTATTTTCATTTGTTTTTTCAGCTGACAAATTGCTGACTCCTCAAGCTGCCCTCTGTTTTGACTTGGCTGGTAGATTCACACAAGCTCTACTTGATTCAGCTTTTGTTTTTGTTTTTTTATCTCTTAATCAACTTGTACGGAACCTCAGTCCTTACAGTAATTCTAGGCTGTCTTAGCTACCTGGATTTCTTAACCTATCAACTACTCTCTGTATTCAGCTCTCATGAACACACTATTAGATTCCATGTTCTGGTCAGAAAAGGCATCCTATCATTTATTTTTCCTTTCATTTACTAACACACATTTTTATTCTCTTGGGAATCCTTTCAGCATAGAGTGGCCATTACTTTTTTAGTGATGGCTCTGTTTTGCTTCTAAACCGGAGTCTGATAATAGGGGGAATATTAACTCCATTCTATTTTGTGAACAACATGGGGCTCAGAGGAGTGAAGTAAAAAATCTTTTCTCTCAGTTCAATCACTGACAACTCACTCCAGCTAGAGTGGAAAGAGCAGTTTCTAAAACAAATACAGTGGAGTTTTGGATTTAGTAGATCCAACACTGTGTGACATTACACTTTCTTTTATTGACAACTATCCTAGTAGGGGAAGTTTTCTAACCACAAAGCTTTCTGCAGGTAAAGTGGGCTATATAGGCAGATAGAAATTCCTGTTTGATCTCTGCTAGTAGGAAGGTCTCTCTACTCCATCCTACCTCTTCCTTGCCTTTAATCTGGGTTGGTGGGTCTAGGGCCTGGGATTCCTTTGCTTCACTTTAATTACAAATAAATTATACATTAAGTATCAGAGAACAAATTCTGGGGAAAAAAACCTGTAGGGTTTCACATTTTTCCAGTAACAATACTTTATTAGAGGAAGTATTACACAGCCCATGGAAAAAATCTCTTTCATTTCATATAAATCACTTCATATGGATGGAGAAAACATTATTTTTCTTTTAACTAACCTTCAGTTTCAGAGGTCTCGTCCACTTCATTTGGTAGGAATCCTATCATTTTTTCTGCCAGACTGATATCAACAGCTGTACCTCCAATATCTACATCAGCAGGTTCTATAGAATGACCTCTATGACTAACTTTCTTCTTATTCCGCTTTTCAGGTAATGTTCTGCACCTTTAAAAATTACATTTTAAAAAAGTTAAGATTTTAGATAGTAGTTCTTACCCCCTTTGGTAATCTATGCCCTTACATCAAACTGAATACTGCATTATCACCTTGGAATATTTTCAAATGGTTCACCATATGCATGCCCATTTTGGATATCAGCTGGAGCCCCATCTGATGGAGAACTATTTGTATCCACAGCATCATCTTTCTCTAGTTTGGATATGACAGTGGAAGAAACTTCATATTGTTTCTGTGATTTCTAAAACAACAACAACCCCATATATAACTTTTAAGTTAAAATATGATTTGCATTCATAACTTTACATTAAACTCCTATATTATTGTACTGTACTTTTCAATATCTACTATTGCAGCATAGGAGACCTGTCTGCCTAAGAAAATCCTCATCTGTGACAATTATGTGCTTTCAGATTTGGACTCGGATGTAAGTCTTGTTGAAATGTATGCCCTTCTATAATAATCTGTGGCCGAAATTATAATTTGATAACGTAATTGTCTTGAAAAATTATACATCAAATTCTAAGTTTTTCCTTCCCTGTATTGTCCTTGTATTACAGGTAGTCCCCGGGTTAAGAACGTCCAGTTTAAGGATGACCCATAGTTAAGAAG